CCCCATCCCGGGCGCACGGGAGCCCCTCCCCGCCACTCTCAGCCCCCCGCAGAGGACGCTGGGGCCCAGGTGAAGCTCCAGCAGTCGACCACCCGCTTGGGGAACGGCGGACCAGCGGAGGGTGGGGAGTGGGTGCCCAGGTGCCTGGGAGCCAGGGGTTGGGTCAGGTGGAGGGCAGGGCCTGGGCAGGTGAGCTCCTGGGCAGGTGGTCCGGGATGAGGGCAGGGGAGGGGTGCAGGGATCTGCGGAAGCTGATGCTCCGAGAGCTCGGGAAGGGGTGCCCTGTGTGAATAACTACAATATTTTTTTAAAAAATAAACTTGCTTTTAGAACAGTTCTGGATTTACAGAAATGTCATGAAGATAGTACTAGAGTGTCCAAGTACCTGGCTCTCAGTGTCCCCCACTGTTGGCATCTTACATCACCTGGGATATTAACAAACTAATGTCCACACCTTGTTAACTAGCGCGGCTTTATCCAGATTCCCCGGTTTCCCCAGTATCTACCCAGGACCCGCGGGACAGGCGTTTCTCAGCCTTCCCTCTTTCCCGACGCCGTGGGCAGCAGTGAGGAGGCGGCTCAGGAGTCTGGTAGACGCTCCTCTGTTGGGGTTCTTCAGGTGTGGTTCTCACCATCTGGCTGGCAATGGCTGGTCTCTTTTTGGCGCACCTGGCAGGGCCCCGGGGCAGCCAGCTCCCCTCTCACTTCCATCTTGGATTGCTCATTCCCACGAGGACACCATGCCCACCTGCCCTTAAAACTGTTAGGACTGCCCTAACCGGTTTGGCTCAGTGGATAGAGCGTTGGAGGGTCCCAGGTTCGATTCCGGTCAAGGACATGTACCTTGGTTGCGGGCACATCCCCAGTAGGAGGCGTGCAGGAGGCAGCTGATCGATGTTTCTCCCTCATCGATGTTTCTAACTCTCTATCCCTCTGCCTTCCTCTCTGTAAAAAATCAATAAAATATATATTTTTAAAAAAACTGTTAGGACTGTAGGGCAATTAACCCTCCTGACGGCCCTTTGTAAGCTTCTCACCACGGGAGACACAGGCCAGGAAAGCAAGCTTGCTGGACACCAGGAGTCAGACCATGTAAGGAACTGAAACGGTCCCGAAGACGTCTGATCGCACACCTGAGTTCCACCGCATCCCAAGCCCCCCAGCTCAGCCCTCAACCCACCGACGACGATTCCCGCCGGGAACTGCATGTAAGGGTGCTGCCATCATCAACCCAATGTCCCTGGGCTCAGTGCTGTGCAGCCCCTCCCTGTGTCCCTTCCCGTAAATAAATTCAATTTTCTTAAACCACCATCTGAGATGGCTATTTAGCCTGCCCACAGGCACCACCCACCATGTTCACCTTTCAAAAACCACTATCTTTGTTCAGGACACTTCCAGAATATTTTGAACCCGTCGTTTTACCACCATCAGTTGCAACATCTTTGTGCCCTAAGTGGTATTTACTGTTTGGGGGAGGGCTGCGGCCACAGGGGCCACGCCTGCTGTTGGAGGGGGAGCTGTCCCTCGGGGTCCCAGCTATCTGCAGCAGGCTCCCCTTTACTGAACACGTGCGGGGTCTCTCTGGTGCTCAGGGTGATCCTGCAGAAGCAGCTGTCATTCTTTCTGGCGGAAGAGGCAGCTGTAGCCCCAGAGGGCAGTGATGTGTCCAAAGTCACCCAGCTCAAGACCTAGGTTCTTCCCCCTGCTACCTCCTTCTTTGAGCCAGGAGAGCTGTGTGGGGAGGACCCTGAAACCCCTTGGGGCCACCCTCTGCCCTCCCAGGGCATCCACTGGGCTCTTTCTGGAGCTCCAGTCCCCTAACATGTCAATGACTTCCCCACATGGCTGGCGATCCCCTCCCCTAACCAAGGCCCTCACCCTTCATCTCTGAATGCTGGCACCAGCCAGGCTCACTTCCCCACCCAGCCTAGAACCACCCCTCCTGAGTCCTTTGGGCTCAGCTAACAGTTGCCTCCCCCAGGCAGCCTTCCCTGATACCTGCTTCCCAAGTTGGAGCTGGGGGTCTCTCCTGCACTGACCCGTGGCCTGTCCTCCCTTACCACAGAGTCACCTGGGTCAGAGCAGGGTCCAAAACTCAGCTTCGTCCGTGGGCCCGTGCAGGGGCCCTGGCACACTGCAGGCACCCGGTGAAGGCTGGCGAATGAATGAGCGGATGAATGGAAAACGTGTGCCATCGGAGCGACTGGCAGTAAAAGGAAACCACTGTCCTTACAGCAGGTGTTGAAGATGCTCAGCTGTGCCCCCCAAAGGAGCAGAAATACAACATGGTCTCTCCAGAGAAGCGTGTGGGGCTCTCCCTCCCTAGGCACCCGCTGGCTCTGCCACCTCACCAAGGCCTGGCCACCACCAGTTGTGCAGGATGGACAGACCACCAAGTCAACAGTGACTCAGTGCCGCTCCAGGCACCTGCCCTCGGGCGCAGCCCCCAGGACGGGCAGTGGGTATGTCCCCACCATGTCACAGAGGACTCAGAAACCACTCTGAGGCACTCCTTGTAGAAAAGCTAATCAGGATCACTACCCATTAAAATTTACAAACAACTCTGACTTTAAATATTCTAGAATTACTTGGCAGTGATTAAGTCATCCCTTCCCAGCTGGTTTAAATCAGGCTTTGCAGTGTCCACCCTAAACTTCGCTGGCGGCTCACTCCTTGTTTTCTGTTGGTTTCAGAGGGTTTGGGGTCTTTTCGCCCAGGAAGGGGGGATGGGGACACTGGCACCCGGACGGGTCCACACATCTCTGCTCTCAAATCTCGCCTGGCCTGGTGCGGGCTGGCCGGCCTTGGAGAAATGCCTCCTGTATGTGTGAAGAAGGGGTTGGTGACAACAGAACATCTGTCTCAACACTGGCCAGCTCTGCACAGAGCCCACGCCGGTATAACGAGCATTATCGTGGGGTGCACACTCTGGAGCACGTTAACTGTCTCTGCACAACTGCTTGCTAAGGAAGAGCTGTATGTTTCTAAATAGTTGGAAAATACCAAAAAGAGCGTTTCCTGATCTGTGAAAACTACATGGAACTCGCTTTTCAGTGTCCACCAATAGTTTTGGCCACAGTCACCCCGTTTGCTCACATGTTGTTGTCTGTGATGCTTCCAGCCACTGGAGCAGAGCTGACTAGCTGTGACAGAAGCTGAAAAGTCCCAAACATTTGCCACCAGACCTTTATGGCAGGTCTGCAGCCCCCACAATAGGCGGTTTCCTTCAGATTTCTTTTTTTTTTTTAATATATTTTATTGATTTTTTACAGAGGGGAAGGGAGAGAGATAGTGAGTCAGAAACATCGATGAGAGAGAAGGTACATGCTGACCGGAATCGAACCCGGGACCCTTCAGTCCGCAGGCCGACACTCTATCCACTGAGCTAAACCGGTTTCGGCTCCTTCAGATTTCTGAGCCAACCATGAATAAGCTAACAGTGTCCAAGACACGGGAACAGACTTCCTTCAACTCTGAATGCCAGGGTGACACCACACCCACAACCAGCGACACTGCAGCCAAAGCCCAGCTCAGCACCAGCAGCACGGCCTGTCGACCTGCCCGATGCCCACAAGCAGGTGTCCAAACAGAGCAGCCCGACCCCCCAGCTCACCGTGCGCCCGGTGGGGTGCCAGGCTCTGCCAGCTCACTGCACCTCAGAAAAGGCCAAGGTCGAGTCCTACATATCCAAAGCTGTTTAATTATAAGATATGAATAGAAGCAAGGCCAAAACTGCAAACGAAAATTGTAGGAACTAACATCACCTTCAAATCCCATGACATTTGTCTAATTTCCAAAACAAAAAAGATTCCCATCGTTGACACCCATGTACAAAATGGCTTAGATTAAGGCGCAGGCCGAGGGTCAGACAGGGTCCGCGTGGGTCCTTTGCCCCGGCCCCAAGGAGTTCCCGGGGGCCTGAGGTCCAGCTGCTCTCCCTCCCCGGAGAAACAGGGAAACGGGTGGAAGACATCTTGTTTTCTGAGGAATAAAATTTCTCCCTTGAGAAGTGTAGCTAACAAAGACAGTGTGTGAGTCTGTCTGGCGCTGGTATTTTTGGAGTGGATCATGGTTTGGTCCGTTCCCATGGTCTACAAGGGCAGGACCGGGACCCCGTGGCTGGAAGGTCTGTGCCCTCACGTCACTCCGATGGAAAATCTGAACATGAGTCTGGAGGTTGCGTGGACGGGACAGGGAGGAGCAAGGCCCCAGGGCCGCAGACAGTCCTGGTGGTCGGCAGCCCCGAGGCACCTGTCGTTCCGAGTGGTGGTGACACATGCAACATGATGGCGGACAGAGGGTGTCGGGAACGGGGCCGCTGGGCCAGCTCCACCACGGCATGCCGTGAGGTTCAGAGGTAGAAAACAAAATGCCACTTCCAGAACATTCCCCCATGTTCCAGAAGCTCCTCGCAGATGCTCGCCTTGCTCGTGCTGCAGCTGGAGGCCAGGGAGCCGTGTGCTGGGGTGCAGTCAAGAATGTGCAGATGCCCGTGATGTGGAAAGGGAAGCCCCAGTTCCTCTGTGCTGAGGCAGCGGAGCCGACACAAAGGACAGAGCCAGCCGTTGAGGGCTCCGGGGTGCCGGGCCCGTGGACCCCAAGGACCTGGCCACCGGCCTGGTACCCATCCTGCCTCCAGGAAGGGCAGTCCAAGAGGTGACACCACTGGCATTTCGGAAAGTCTGCTGTTTATTAAGACATGGAGGGGCTGGACGGAGCACAGGCTGCAGACACTCCCAGGCTGACGAAGGAACCAGGATCAGGCTGAGACCAAGAGCCCGTCCATGTACCACCAGCTTTGCTGGCGGCTCTTACCCGGCTCCCCAGCCTGTCCAGAGGCGGATCCAGCCCCCATGCCAGCTGGGCTGAGGGCCTGAGCTCACACCTCCAGGCCTGGCTTTCGGCATCTGGACCAGCTGCACGGCCGAAGGAAAGCCATGGCCTTCGGGGCAGACCCCTCCCCTCCGGCCCGGACGGAGCATCTCCGGGGGAGCCTGAAGGAAGCAGCAGCATGGTGTAAGCACCAAATGTGGCAGATGTGCAGCCATCAGTGGGCAGAGGTGACGCTTCCTGACCTGGGTTCCACCGAGACTCCAACTAGGAAGATGCAGGGCTGGGATCGCGGGGCGGGGACCTCGGCGGTCCCAGGGGTTGCGGCAGCCACATGAGCTGGGAGCAGGGCCGGGGTCCAGGCGTGGCTGGGCTTGAGATGTGAGCATTGGCCAGACCAGAGCACCAAGTTGGGGAATGGCAGGTCCAGTCTTGGAGGGACGGCAAGGGACTCAGGCTGCACTGGCCCCCTAGGCTGAGGTGCCTGGCAGGCCTGGAGGCTCAGGGGTGTGGCTGGCAGGACTCACGGGTTCCTGGGTGGACACACCGGCCACATCCTTGGGATCAGCCAGTTCTGGAGGCTGCTCTTCGGGCAGTGTGGGCTTGACCTGTGCTTCTCCTGGAGGCTGCTGGGAAAACACAACCTCCGAGTCTTTCAGAGGCGGTGGGCCTTCGGCGGAGGCTGGCACCCAAGGAGGCTGAGGTAGATCCTTCTGGAAGAGGAGAGAGCCCGCGGTAAGGGGTGGGAGAGGCCAGTGGAGCCTCAGGGGAGGAGAGGCAGGAGTCACTGTGCCCAGAGGGTCAGGCTCTAGGCAGGGGGTGGGGAACCTTTGTTCTGCCAAGGGCCACCTGTGTATTTATAACGTAATTCACGGGCCATACAACATTATCCACTTAAAAATTCGCCTGCTGCATTTGGTCAAATATTTAATTAACACCCCTAATGCCGCGGCAGGGCCAGACGAATGATGTCACAGCCCTGATACGGCCCCTGGACCAGACGTTCCCCACTCCCTACTCTGGGCCCAATCCCACCGGCCAGCATGCAGGCCACAGGGAGGGGACCTGGCGCAGAAACCTGACCCTGACATCACGGGCTCATGCCCCCGCGCCTGACCTGCTGGTGCCGGCCCACCAGGTCTGTGGCAAAGCCAATGCCCATCGGACTGAGACCCGTTGAGGACCGTGGGCACTGACCCAGGAGGCTTCCCTGAGGGCCTGGGACAGGGTCTGGCTACAGGTGGGGTTCATGAATGTCAGACCTGGAGCCCTGCTCCTTTCCAAGGTAATACCACACTCAACGGCACTGCTGAGTGGGGCGTGTCACACCCGCGGGAAGCCCCGAGGACACCCCTCCTTTGTGTGCTGGGCTGGCCCACACTCTCCCTGCTGCTACTCCCTCATGGCTGGGCCTGAGGTGTCAGGTCCCTGCAGAGCCCAGAACCTGAGCTGTGACAGCTCTTGCCCTGGCAGAGGGGCTCCAGTGCACCCCCAGCCTAACACGGCATTCTCCATGGTGAAAGCCGTTGAAAGCCATACCCAGGCAAGTGGGGTGCTACTGTGCGGTGGGACCAGCACCTTCCTCAGGTCACACCTCGCATGGCTGAGCCACCGGAGCAACATGGACACAACACCCAAACCAAAATCTCTGGAAATGGGGAGACACCAACACAGGATGGGGGCTGCAGGTTTAGTTGTAAAACTAGAGGCTTTACTCAACTTTAATTCTAGTTAGGGCTTATGGGTTATTATTTCTACCAGACAGTCATAGCAAACTGGTATTCACTGCAAAGCCACTGCCCGTCCAGAACATGCCCAGCTCCCCGCGCCACAGGGCCAGGGCGCCGCTGGTGATCAGCGTGCAGGGCACCAGGTACAGGAGGGCCGGCTGGCCACGCTGCATGAGGGCCAGGGCCATGAACGTCACCAGGAGGCCGATGCCATAGGCTGGAGGGACAGAGACAAGCAGTGTGTTACCTGGGCCAGCGGTCCCCAGGGCCACACCCTCCCTCGAAGGAATGCTGGAAGCACGAGCACGGGGGACCAGACATGACACAGGGACAGGCCAATGAGACTCGGGTACTTCCAGAAGTTAATGGAACCTTCTGGTATCTTCCAGGACATATGGCCCCCCTAGTCCTCAGGGGACAGGCAAGATGAGTCAGGTTTCAATGAGAAGACAGGAGGAGCAGAGAGGCTGGAGAGAGGACAGGACACTGGGCAGAGGAGGGGACACTGGGCAGAGGAGGGGACATTAGGGAGAGGAGGGGACATTAGGGCAGAGGAGGGGACATTAGGAGAGGAGGGGACACTGGGCAGAGGAGGGGACATTAGGGAGAGGAGGGGACACTGGGCAGAGGAGAGGACACTGGGCAGAGGAGGGGACACTGGGGAGAGGAGGGGACACTGGGCAGAGGAGGGGACATTAGGGAGAGGAGGGGGCACTGGGCACAGAGGGCGGCTGGAGGTGAAGAAGTCACGGGCTTTCTGACCGGCAGCTGGCAGCTGTGGGAAGGGTCTGGAACCACAGAAGCAGCTGAAGTTGTGAATGTGCCCAAATACCTCATTTTTATAAGCTTTTAGTTAGAAATATAATCCTGAATTACAGTAACATATGCGCAGAATTAGATCAAATCTTTGATAACATAATCGTGACACCGGAAAAGAGCGATTTGTTCCCAGGAGCCTCTTGGTGAAGCAGGAGGGTGAAGGGGGTGACGTGCAATTTGCTCTCACAGCTCAGAATAAACCTGCTTTACACGTGCGTGAGTGTAGACATCTGGCCACGTGTGCACACACATGCAGAGAGAATGAAGTGAGGCAACTGTAATGAATCAACCGCAGGGCACTGGGCGAGCGGGAGTGTGGCGTCTCCTGGACTAATCGTACAACAGTGATCTGGGAGTTATTTCAAAGAGCCAGTGACAAGAAAATCAGCCTTTAGCTGGAAGCTTCCTCCAGAGCTGAGCCCGTGCCCAGCACCCGCCTGGGCCTGTCCCGAGCCTCAGCCCGCCTTTCCCAGTGGTGTGCTCACTAGGGAGGGTTCCTATGTAACCATGGCGGGGCCCACGTGGTTGTCCTGACAGTGACTTCACAGGCGACGATGGGAGGAGCAGATGTCTGGCAGCTATGTAAGGTCTAAGGGCTCCAATGAGGGGAACTACGGGGACCTTCTGGCACACGGTCTGACAGGGAAGCCCCTGCCACTGTGTCTTTACAGAACTGTTTCGAGGACGATAACGTGGAGAAATGTTCAGATACAATGAGCAACCGCAGGCACCGGGGGGGGGGAGGGCAGGATCACACTGTAACGACCCCAAAATGGGCCTGAAGGCCTGCCTGTGCCCTCTTGGTGCTACAGTGACACCTACAAGGTCTCTCCCCTGGTGCAGAAGCTGCCAGGCCTGTGCACTCTGCTCTCTCATGACAAGGGGCAGGGGGCAGGGGACAAGGGAACACATCCCACCAGCTGGCTCTCCTGCAGAAGCAGGCAGGTGTGGACAGAGCACGGGCATGACGCACTTCTCTTCCTTGAGAGCTGACAGGGTGGGGACAAAAAAAAGGATTTGTTTAAATCCTTACCAGAGAATATTTTCCCATTGATTTTGAGAGTGGAAAGGAGGGGAGAAGGGGAGAGAGAGAAAGAGAGGAGAGGGATCGATGTGAGAGACACTTCGATTGGTTGCTTTCTGCACACACCCCAGCCCTAGTCAGGGTTGGGGATCGAACCTGCAACCCAGGTATGTACCGACTAGAATCGAACCCGAGACCCTCCAGTCCACAGACTGATACTCTAACTGCTGAGCACACCAGCCAGGGCTAGCTGGGAAATTTTTTTAAAGCAATCAGGGCTCAACAGAAAATGAGAAAATATCACCTTTGTGTCATTGGCTTTGGTAATAAAAGAAACGAAAGAAAGAAAAAGAAAGGAACGAAGGAAAGGAGGGCTGGAGGGAGGGAGAGAGAGGAAAAAAGGGAAAAAAAGAAAGAGAAGGGAGGAAGGGAGGGAGGGAGGGAGAGAGGGAGGGAGGGATCACCGGATAACAAGGAAGAAAGAGAGGAAGACAAAAAGGAGACAAGAGAAAAGAGAAACAACCGCAACAATCACGGAAAAGTGGGAAAAGGGACTGTGCCGTGAGCAGAGGCTGCGCCGCCCCCTCCCACCAGCTCCGTGAGCCGCTGAGGAAGGATGGGGGTCCGAGGGCCACAGCCTGGCCCTCCTGAGCGGTGCTTACCGATGGTGCAGGCCACGAAGTAGACCCTGGACGACTGCACCTGGATGTCGAACCTGTGGCAGTACGCCACGAGCAGCCCTCGGGGAGGAAGAGAGCATGGCCAGTCCTCACCGGAGCCGGGGAGCCGGGGAGCCGGGGAGCCAGTGCCCCGTGGGAAGGGCCGGGCACTGTGCATGGTCTCATCTAACAGCCATTATTGCTATTTCACAGATGGCCACACTGGCAGCTCAGAATGGAGCTGTAACCCAAAACCCTGGGCCAGTGCACATCCCACAGCACGGAGGGGCAGGGAGGTCCTGCCTGGTGGACTTAGGGCACAGTGGGCTGTCAAGGCCATACTCTGTCCTGGGTAGCCAGCGCCAGGCAGGAACGTCTGTGTAGCCATGACCCACAGAACAGAGCTGTCCCCCGGGGCCAACGTGGGGCTACCTCGACCATGCACCACCTACCAGCCCCCAACCCAACACGACCAGGACACCTGGGTGCCCTCGGGGCTGAGGGGTGACCCACCCATGTGCCCAGCCCCTGTACCTGGGACCAGGATGTCTCCAAAACCCAGGAGGGAGAAGGGCCGGTCGCACAGGGCCAGTGGCGAGGCGTTCAGCCTGGGCACCTTCAGGACCATGGGCAGCTGTGGGGAGAGGAGGCAGCACCTGCAGACCAGCCCAAGACGATAGCTCCCCTCCACCCACCAGGGTCTGAACGTACCTTCTCACGTGTAGCTGAGTTCGCAGGCCCGGTCGCTACTTCCACCATGATACTGTTCCCGCTCTAGCACAGGAGAGCCACATCAGCGTGGGGCAGGGGGTGCGGAGAGTGTGGGAGGGGCGGGGCAGGGGCAGGGGCAGGGCTCCCACCTTGGTCAGGAAGGGCGTGATGAACACAAAGAAGATGTCATAGATGAACAGCACCATCAGCAGCAGCGTGCAGGCCTGGGGAGAGGCGTCCTGAGGGCCGGCCCAGGACCCCCAGGCACACAGACCCCCTGGCACAGACCCACAGAGACATCCCCACACCCTTGATTCCCCTCACAAGGCTCAGGCTATTCCCACTGGGATGAAGCCTTTTCAAGCGTCTGATCACCACCTGCCCCAGGCCCTGGGCCACAGGAGACGAGGGAGTGTCCAGAGCGACGTGAGTGGAGGGCTGGGCAGAGCATAAGGCACCCTGGGTTTCCCAGTCGTGGGACAGGTGGCCGAGGTGAGCCAGTGGGAGACATACGCTCCATGATGGGTCAGCTCTGGGTCTAGGGAGGTGTTGCCCTTCACCGTCCATCCCCACGCATTTCTGAGTTTTTTCTACCAGGTCTTACAGACAATAATCTCGGCCCCCGGCTCAGAGGAGAGGCCAGGACAGAGCTGGGTGGCAGGCAGGTCTGGCCGCTTCAGGCATGGGGCTGACACAGGAAAGGCCCTCAGGACTCGGCTCCCCAGGGGCCCCACCCCCGGGCCCTCACCTTGAAAGTGGGGAGGCGGATGGTTTTGAGCATGTAGAGACAGAAGGCGATTCCCAGCGCATCCTGGAGGACCCAGGCCCACCTGCAGGGCAGAGCAGCAGCATCTGCTAGGACAGGTTCCATCCACAGCCACCAGCTGTCCGGCCCCTCCCTCAGCCGACACCTTACCCACACCAAGCGTCTGAAACACCCCGCACTGGGCCTGACCTCGCCATGTTTCCAAGGCTCAGGCACTGTCAGAGGCAGCAGTGCAGGTTCCGAAACCTGGGGGACGGACCCCACTTCGTTGGAACAGGCAGGGCAGTGATGGATGACCGGGCAGGGGGTAAAGGGACCCTCCACTCTGACACCAAGAGGCCAGAGAAAGACAGACATGGCCGGGCCTCTGTCTCTCTACAGTGGTGGCTCTTGTACCCAGATCACAGGAGGAGTGAGAAACGTGCCCGGCCAGGTGACATCCTCTTTCAGCCCCGTGGGAAATTAGGGCTCAGACCCACGGACAGGCTCTGAGGATGAGCATCTGGAACCCCCCGAACGGTCCCACGGGAACAAGCAGCAGAGGCAAGACCATCTCAAATATCTGCATTAACCCAACACCGTCGGGCGCTGCCATTCCACAGCCACACTCCCAACCTGCCTATCAAACCTGTGCTGTGAGGGCCTCACCTGGAGGCTCTAAGACAGAACTAGCGTGACCGAGGGGCCAGCGGGGACAGGGGGCATTCACCCTGTGCAGCCACACCGCCCATGGCATGGGGGTGGTACAGCCCCAACCTCGCCAGCCCTGCCTGGGCTGTCCTCCCCTTCCTGCCTCGCCCTGCACCTTGGCCAGGGCTCTGCCTGCCCACCTCACTCATCAGATGCTTCACACAAGGGATCGAACGTCTCCCCGCAGGGGCAGGTTGAAGAACAGGGAAAGTTTGAAGGTGGTGGGTGGGCGCCTGTTAGCTGCCTGCACCCAGAGGTGCAGGAACTATGGCCCGTTCTAATTTTATACAACAGAGAAGTGTCTTGGCTTAGATTTAACTGTGAGAATCCGGGTTCTCTTTGTGTACAAAGGACTCAAAATATTTTCCCATTTTCCTTCTGCCACTTAAATCTGTTCTGGCTCCAAAAGGAGGTGCCGCCAAGAACATTTAACTGCCTTGGGAAAGGCTCACTGAGAGCGCCAGATGGTGTCAGCGATAGCAGGAGGGGGTTGGGCGGGAACAGGCCTGCTCTGTCCTCCTAGGGCAGCCCGGGCTCCAGGCCACAGGACAGGCGCGCTGCCCTGCAGGGGAGGCTGAGCTTAGGGTAGCAAGTGCTCGGAGAAGCAAGCCAGCCTCCCGGGACCATCCGTGAGGGTGCTGGCTGAGCACACCCCTGGGGCACCACCTCGGGAGCAGTGGGGACAAGTGGCGCCAGGGACAGCGTCCCCTCCCGCCGCCCAGGGCCCCATGGAGGCCGTCCTGGACAGCACAGCTTGGGGTGCCCAGGCCAAGAGGGTTTGCAGCATCTCATATCCAGATCCAATCGCTGTGCATGTGGCACCCAGACAAATCAAATGAAACCAGACGCAGGGGGCAAGCAGGGCAGCCACGGCTGGGCAGCCGTCAGCGGAGCCCAGTCAACACCTGGACGCCATTCGGCCACTGCTTCCAGGGGACTGAAAGGAGGGCTTTTGATAACCACGGAGGTGAACTGGCTCCAGCTGCCCCCAAACGGCCCCGGGGAGGTACAGGAGACTGCAGTCCAGCACTCAGAGCATCTGAGGACAGCCCTCAAGAGGGAGGGGCCACCCAATGGCTGGGGGCCTCCTGGGCCCTAGGACCTAGGGGGCTGTACTCACTGGTCCTCATTCCGGAAGACTGCCCACACCACACTGACACTCACGCAGAACAATGCCAGGAGCAGCATGCGGACCTGAGGGCACTTGTGGAAGTAGGGCAGGCTGCTGTTGCAGACCCTGATGGGTAGGGGAGAAGGGGGCAGTTGTCATGGGCAGCATGCCCCTCACCCCCGAATGACCTCTGACTCTTCCACCCTGTTCCCACCCAGCACCCAGACGCGTCATCTCAACTCCTACCCACAGCCCTCAGCCCCCTCAAGTCCAACTCCAACAAGCCTGCCGCCCAGGCCTCCTGCTGTCCTCCAGGCTCTGCTCTCAAAGGGGCCACTCACCACCCTGCCCACCCGGCCTGCCCTCCTCCACTTCCCGTTCTCTGTTAAACCCGCCCACAGTCCCCGTGAGGTTCCCAAGAGCAGAGGAAGAGTCAGGTGGGGCCAGGCACTTAGGGTGAGCAAACCTGGGCCAGGTTCCAAGCCAGCCTGCCCACAAGAGCCCACAGGAGCTCAGGAGAGCCCATGGGAGCCCTCAGCTCAGTGCTGTGCCTCCTGGCCTGTCTCCACCTCTCACCCTTATATGGCAACCTTAAAAGATCTCATCCCCCTTGTCTACATCCTGAGTAGCTGCCCATCTTCCCTATAAGAACCAGACTGGGCCTCTGGTAGCAGGGAGCCTCCAGGCCTGAACCACCAGTGCATCCAGCCAGGTGGCCCCGCCTTGCCCTGCCCTGCCGGGCATCCCTACCCAGTACCCACATGCACCCACATCATCCCACTCGGCCCCTGCGTCCCCACTGGGCCTATCTGCCCTGGAATGGAAGGTGGGGAGAGGGAAGCCACTCAAGAGAGGAGGCGGGAGGACTGAGAAAGCCCACTCTCCTCCCCATTCTGTCCTCCTCCCAAGGTCCATGAACACCCAGCAAGCACTGAGTGAGCACCTGCCATTAGCCTGCGCTGTGCCAAACTAGCCAAGGACCATGGGAGAGTGGGGGGTCCTTGAATCATGGAAGCAGAGGTTGGAGCCTCAGGGGCCAGAGGACGGGAAACAGTAGTTGAGCCAAGGAGAGGCTGTGGTGGAGGACCTCAGGAACAAAGCTGGGGGCGAGGGGCTGGGTGGGGCTGGGCAAAGGCTGCCTGAGGGAGCTCACCTGCATTTGCCAAATGGCAGCCTCTGGACCAACGGCGACAGGCAGCTGTAGAGGCCCGTGGAGGAGGCCAGGCAGAAAATCCCAATGATCACGTAGACTGCAGAGCAGGGCGCAGTGAGGGAACAGGCGGGCTGCGGGTCCCAGCCACCCCCAGGGGCCCCGTGCACTCTTGCACTTGGGCAGGGTGACCTTCACCCAGTAAAGGGAGGGGACAAGCCCACCCGGAAGCCCTCCTGTCACCCTGCCGTCCACTGGACTTCTCCAGAGGAGCCACGGCCGCGGAGACCCACCAAGATGGTCGTAGAAGTAGTAGAGGAGCACCAGCATGGAGCAGCACATGACCACAAAGACGCAGGTCATGACGGGCGTCACGTCCACAGCCTCGTCCTCCTGCTTCTCAGGCTCATCATCCCGCTTGTGCTTCATATACCTTCTTGAGAAACACGGGCCATGAGGACGCCTGGCCAGCTTGCACAGCGCTGGGACTAAGGGCCAGAGACTGGGAAGGACTGGCAGGGACAGCTCATCTGTTGGCCTGTCCGCCCTCTCCAGACCCACTATGTGTCCCCAGTGCCCCTCCAACAGGAGAGCCAGACCTGCCCCTTGGACCTCACACCCTTGTCCAGGAGCTCAGGGTCCTCGCAGACAAGGCTCCCGGTCACCCACTATGAGATGCCCTTGAACACCGCTGGGACTACCCACAGGCCCCGTCTCCTGAGTGCGCCCCGGGCTGT